TTTTTTTCAGGGCTGGAAAACATTCATTCAGTCATTCATCCATACACACTCACACTGATGGTGGCAAACTACATTGTAGCTGCCCTGGGGCTCAATAACAGAAGCATGGCTGCCGTACACAGGGGCCACTGGGCCCTCTGACCACCATCAGGTTTATAAAGATAAACTTGAGAATGGAAAATGTTTTTCCTAATCACTTTTTCCATAGGAATCTAATAATCTAAATCTAATCATAATTGATTTTCATATTCTTTTAAATAATCTTTTAAATCATAACTTAATTTCAACAATTTACACATTAATGATTCAAATCAGTGACTCGAAATTTGAAATGGCTAATTTTCTGACCTTTATATTTGAATTTTTTTTTACAAACTTTTAGCCAGGTTGAACTAGACTATTGCTTTTTAATCTGGGTCTAAAATATCAGCAAAAAAAAAAAAAAAACAATCCTCAAACAGTGTATTTTCATGAGTAGGTTTCAAAACATTGCACCAAAACTCACAGAAAAGATATGGTCAAATGTAAATAAACTAGAGATTAGCATCTGGAAAAGTATGAATTTGTAATTAAACATCTGTACGAAACCTTGATTTTACAATTAGGTATTACTTTGCAGTTGATCTATCTCATAAGATCCTTACACAAAAGATTTAGGTTTGAATCTAATCAAACTAAAATAGTTAAAAGGGAATGAACACTAAAGGACTAACTACTGTGAATGATTTTGATCTAATTCAAAACTAAACAGAAGTAAACTTAAACTGTGACTGTCTGTGAGTATGTGAGTATGAGGTCAGCACTGTGTGTCATAGTCATAACTTAAATCCAGAAGGTGCTTTTTAGGAGATTGCTTGTCTCTATTGTGTGTGTAGGTACTGGCACACTCATTGACCTGTTCTAAAGCTAAGCTCTGATGATGCTGTTTTTCTTCATTCTTTGAGACGATGGGTGAAATTATTTTTGAATGATTCACGGTGGAACAATAAGCCTCTAAGCACCCCAGGAGGAATTTAGGGATCGTATTAGTTCCATACACCACAGGATTATCCTCTCCTTGGTATAACTGGCACATTTCTGTATTTTCCAAGGGACTCTGAAAGCACTTATGTGGCGGCTTTGCTCTTTGAGCTTGCAAAGAGGTCACTTCTTTAGAAAAGGGGAAGATTTGAAAAAACAACAACCTATGAATGAGCTATTATTCAGCTCACTGGGAAAATGAATACTCACATGAAGAGCAAGTTGAGTATTTTTGCTACATTAAACTCTCTTGCTACAGGCAATCAGCATCAAGCCCCGTGGGTTCTGCCTGCTAAATCAGCTTCACGCAGCCTGTGGTCAGACAGGCATTCTTGCTCTGTGGCTTCTCTCTACATGAGGTGGAGTAAGTGGGGTTGGACTTTGATTAAGGTTTGCAGCTGATCCAGTTTAGTTTAGAGGTGCTGAGCTGAAGCTTTACCGGCAATCACTACAATAGATGTTCCATCCTTTCCTCCAAATTAAATGTATGTTTTAATATGAACATTGCCATGGTTACTTAAAGTAGTCAGATAGGGCCAAGAGCAAAGAGAACACAAACCAAGGTGTGTGTGTGTTACCCTCTGAGCAGGCGTTCATGCTAAATGAATTCACCTCTGAATCATGAGGGTCCTGCAAGACGGCTGCTTCCAGCAAAAGCACAGCGTTTTGCAAGTCTCCCTCCCGAGATTTCTTCAGTCCCTCTTCAAACGCATTTGGCAGCTCCTTATAAGGATTATCCGTGTGGAAGTAGTAACCCTGTCAGCAAAGAAATAAAAACAACAAAAACAGGGGCAGAGGCAATGTCAGTTATTCTCCTTCACATAAAAGCACACCATTGCAAACATCTTGAGCTGCTGATTTTTTAAGCAAAGCTCTGACAAGAGGTATTGATTCCCCTCCTCCCTTTTTGCTTCACATAAAACCTGTGCAGAACTCCACTGGGTTTGGCTGTTCTCTTTAAATGTTAAACTTTGCATTTTTTAACTTGGATGGCCCTGGTCTATTGCAGGCGTTTGAGCTTGATGACTTTAAAAAAAACTACTTTGTCTATATAATCTGAATGTATGCTGTGAATCAGAAACCCCACAAGACTGATCTTATGGGGTTTGCTTATATCAGAAGGTCAGCTCATGGTTGAATGGTTCAGGGTTATTCTGATGTAAAGTAGACGCTATTTAATGCACTTTAATGCACAAATTTTGTATTCAGAAGAGCTCAAGATTATATAACACCTAGGTTGTATAATTATATTCAAGAAGACAGAGCTTTTGGTTGAAGATTGTTACCTAGACATTTTTGCTTCATTCATGCCTTTTGTGTTTTAGTGCTGGTTTGAGCAAATTCTTAAAAACTGGGCCAAAAATATTCACAATCTGTATAAATAAACCTATATAAATGTGGTAATTCATATTAAACTGTAAATTGAAATGTAGTGCTAAACCTGTGCTAATATGGATAAGAAAATAATTAAAACACTTTTCAAATAAACAAAAACGTTAAATCAGGTAACCTGAACATAAGACCAGTCTACCTGTCTGTAGCAGCTTTGGTCCAAACAAATAACTTAGGTTAAAAAAGGCTGTAAATAAATGACTCTGTTAGCACACAGAATCATGAAATTGTTTGATGAAATTCATAAATTGTTTACTGAATAATAAAATTAAAATTAGCTATATATAGACTTGGAATTGGTGAACCTAAATTTGGTTCTTTTGTCCCTCAGTAGGTTTGTGAATGAAATTAAAATCTTACGCAGCTTTAAATAAATCTGTTTACACTAGGTATGGTACGACTTATTCAGTTTTCATATAGCTCCAATTCACAATAGGTTCTCTAAATTAATTTATAAGCATGTCAGTTCGACCCAGGTTATTATACAAAGTAGCTAAATTGAGTTTATAATTTCAAATTGTAAACTACGATCTATCCAAGGAAGGCCAAGAGATAATTGTAATAACCTATGCGGAATAGTTTTCTTCTAGAAAGCATGTGGCTACAATGGAAAGGAATGACGCCCCTTTTTACAAGAAAATTGCACTTTATCTTCATATTAGAGCCATCTGGAAAAAAAAAAAGTCCTGTGCACAGTTGGTAAAACTGACCTTCTCATGGGGTGATACAGATGAGGGTATTTGCGCCTGCTCATTTTCTGTCAGCCAGTTTCGTCGTGCAAGCTCTTCCCACTCTGCCTGCATTTTGTCCCAGAACTCCGTATCTGACTGCGAACGTCACAGAGAGGACACAATGCAGGATTGAGGTTCGACAGATGGACGTAGATTAAAAAGTGAAAGCAGAGAAGGAATACTTATCATGGTCTGAGGCAAAGGCTGCTGTTAGGGATACTCTAATGAATTAAATATTAAAACAAAAATCTTAATAACATTGACTAATAAAACAAAATTATAGTACGTAAAATATTTATACTATGTTAATTGCTAATGCTAAGCATGCCAGCCCCATACCTTTGCAGTCTCTATCAGATTGACATTTCAAAAGTTATTTGCTGACATTTAATTAACTGACCAAGAAGCTGAGGTTCATTCTGGATGGGCAAGCTGCCAGTTTAAGATGCCTCCTGCAATTATTTTTGGCTGGAAAGCAAGCGCTGGACCTTTGAGATAGGGTTAACAGGCTTTTTTAATGAATCATTATCTTGCAATAACTTAATTTTAAACTTCAATATGGGACATTGGTGAATAGTTATTACGGTAGTTATAATTAGCAATTTGCTATAAACATCAGAAAAGGAAAGCTGTCCTTTTATCTTAAGTGCTTTTTATATAAATCTAATACTAATTTAGTACACATAAAGTTTTGCATAAAATGCATTATGCAAATTAGAATCTAATCATTCTTATGGCATTAAAACACCCTCTACAGTGAACACTATCCGTAGACCAAAACAAGATCAACATTTATCTCTACCTCTACCACTTTCTTAAAACATCATACATTTGTTGTTAATGTTTTTAATCTACATTCTGATGCCTGTATTAATAGTGCAGCTTTTAACATTTCATTAGTAACAGTGTCTTGGGCCTGTGTTTGTAGTGTTAGTTCATCATTTCATCAATTTCAGACAGTTAAATGTTTATGTTGTGAAAGTATTTGGTATGACTGAGTCTCTCCCTCATATCGCATCATATGAAGACAGTAAATTACTCAGACGTTTAAAATGGAGAGAATATGCGGGAAGGTTTTTATTATAACCATAGTTCTCAATATTGTTGTGATGTGTCATTTTCGACACGGGTGCTGGCAGTTTAATTATGGGAAACAGAGTACAAATGTAGGGCGATCATATAAATCCTATGTATTGCTTGAAGGAGCCCGTAGCTCTGAATTCTAATCTCAGCTACTCTAAAACAGCTTCCATCCAATAAACATGTCAATGCTGGTTGGAAATTAATTGGCAAAGCTAGTCACTCACTTTTGAAAAAAACAAAAGTGCTCCTGAATTTGCTTAGTGGGTCTTGGGCCATGTTTACATAGTGTGTCTTATGCTTGGATCTATTTTTTTGGTTAAAATACATTTTGTATACAGTTTGTTTATATGGCACCAATTCACAATACGTCATCTCAAGGCACTTTACAGTTCAACCAGATCACACAGTCAAATTGATTCAAAGTTTTCTATCTAGGAAAACCAGTTGATTGCATCGACTCATTGACTTTAAGGCAATCCTTCACACAAAAAATATTGTTGCGAAAGTGGAGAGGAAAAACTCCCTTTTAACAGGAGGGACCCTCCAGCAGAACCAGGCCACCATTGCATCACAGTCTGAATGGTTCTGGACGTCAGAGCGGCCCGCATGTGTAGACGGAAGACGTAGATGGCACAAAAAAGTAAATTGCTTGTGGAAGTAAAAACAAATGCCTATCTCTCTATTATTATCAAGCATGACTACATCAAATTAACATTAAAAAATACAGAACACAACTATAAACAGACACATTTTGTGGAGAACTGACAGCTACTTCTTTTGTGGAAAACTATTTAAATGTACAAATAAATTAAATCCAGACTGTGAAGCTTGGCAACTATCAAGATTAGTACCACATATGGAAGCAATACAATAAAAAATGTCTTGGCAGGTGAAAAGATTGGAATTGGGCCATTTAAAGTCCAACAATGGTGTTTTTTAAAAATATAAATATAAAAAATATAACCGCGTGTGTCTGGGGGACAGTGATTCGACAACATGTTATGAATGCTGGCGTACCATAACGAATAAATTATGAACAATTTAGTTGTTGCCTTCAACTCGTTGCCCAAAGGAAGACGTTACTTGGATATAAAAAAAATGAATATCTTCAGAACAGCTCCAAATGACACAAAACTCATATGGGTGAGTAGAACATGATGTAATAACATAAAATCAAAGGGCCAATGTAAAAAAAACAGTGTTCCCCTTTAAGGCCCTCTTTTACAAGTGATTATGAAAACTCTCCATCATCTAAAACACTATGAAAATGGCTCTAGATCATATATGAGCAAAAGAGCAAAAATAAGAGTTCAGAGTTAGTCTGTTAGACAGTGTGCAGCTGTTTACAATAAGATATAATCTACTATGTTCCTTCTTGTAAACAGCTTCACAGTTGTGTCTGCAGTCCTTGACAACAGATTGGACTGGAGACACCACTGTGTAGCTTTCTATGAGACATGACATAGCAGTATGCTCCTGTTGAGAGAGCTTA